CACGCACTTTAACAACGCGCGAAGCGGGAAACTACCACATCCCGACACTGCGCCATTCGCAGCGAACGGTACACTCGCGGGTGCTTAAATCACTTTCTTGGACGCAACATGTACAAGTACAAGCCCATATAAAACCGAATGCAGTCAGCAGTGTGCGACGCCCGCCTGCTCATTTAACTTTTTTTTTTATTTTTTTCTCATTACTCTTTTTTTTCCTTCTTCGGTGTTGCTCTGACCTGCTGATGTCGATCACGGAAAAGGGTCTCTGGCCGGCAGCCGTAGCCACCACCACCCACGCCTCAATATAAAAACCGCAGCAAGCAGAGCGGGGGGAAAAATTGAATCACGCTATGAATGCCATATTAAGGCGCCAGCTGCAGACGACTCGCTTTATTCAAGATAACCCGTTTTTTCCCCTCTCAATATTTTTTCCACGAAATGCTCTGTGTGCAGGAATGGAAAATAATAATAATAACGATGAAAAAGTAGCAGCGTTACCAACCCTATCCGCGATAGACTGGCAAAGGGGGGGGAGGGGGGGGACTCAACGGCTACCGGCTACTCCCCCCCCCCTCCTTCCTACAAACCTCCAGGCCACGCGCACAAAAATAACAACGTGGAACGTCGTCGTCCGCGTGTCTTTCGACGTCTGATAGACGATGGAAAGACGTCGTCCCTCTAGGAATTAATCACGAGCGTCCGAATGCGGACAGAAACGGGAGGGGGAATAAAAAGAGAATGAGCAGCAGGCCCTTCACGCGTCACCCAAAGGAACAAAAACAATTTCTTAGAACATTTTTCAAAAATCTTAAAATTTATTTTTATTTAGTATTTTTTAGCAGATAGTATACTATATACTTTTAGCTAGTTTTAGTAAAACACAATTGAAACATCTGATGTAAAATCGGATGTAGGATATCTGATGTAAAATCTGATGTGTAAAATCTTAGGCTGCCTCTGTTCTCTGTTCTAAATTTTATTCTGCTGCCGCCACTAGGCTCGGTTCGCGTTAGTGATGTACAAATAAATAAACAAAAAGTACAACGCACACGCGCAATGTAGCGGCGGCGTGGCGTGGGGGGCGTGGCGCGGCGGCCGGCCCGGCACAAAACAAAACCCGCAGCAGGAGGAGGAGGCGGCGGCGGCTTCCTGCGCGTCCGCGCCACCGCGACTGGCCGGCCCACGCCGCGCCGCCCTCACGCGATACGTATCCGCAGGACGCGCTCGCGGGGCACCGCCGCCGCGGTAACAGCGCCCAAATGACTGCCATCAGACGGCATCACCGCATAAATAAACATGGCATTCTTACACACACACACGAGAGAGATAGAGAGAGAGAGGGAGAGAGCTGCTGCTCCCGTTCCCGCACGAGCTGAGAGAGAGAGACTGATAGAGAGAGAGACCGCCCACGAAAAATAGAAGAGGGGGAGGGGTCATCAAAATAATTGAAGACCGATGATTACAGACTGGCGTGTCCGCCATGCTGCCTTCGTCGTCCCTGTCTTTGTTTGCTTCTTAGCTCCGCGGAAAAGATGGCGGGGGCGTGGGGGGAGGGCCCCCTCCCCCGAGCTCCCTCTCGCCCGCCCCCACCCCCGCAGGGGCAAAGCGGGAAAGAACTGCCCCCTCCTCCGCCCCTCTCTCCCGTGACGAACACCGAGTTGATAATAAAACTGATATACGGGGCCAATAACGCACCGGCAGTGGAGCGGAGAGTCTCTAGTCGGGCGACTCGCGGCGCCCAAATGGCCAATAAAAAGTAGTAGGATGAGGGAAAGAAACTCGATTATTTTTATTATTGTGGTATAAGTCGTATGCAGCGAAGCAGAAGGGGGGGG